CTTAGCAAGGAGCTGGATGGGAAATGAAGCTGCTGGGACTTGAACCAGCTCTGCAGCTGGCAGCTTTACGTCCTGTGCCACAGCGCTGGCCCCAAGCTACTGGTTTTGTCTGTGGACCCAGCCTGACTTTGAACTATGCCCGGGTGGTCCTACTCTGCTTGCCAGTGCCTGAGTACTGTCACAACAGAGTCCTCCCAGGGCCAATCGCAGATTAGCTTCTCCTTAATTTCCTGTTCGCTTTCCCCCACATCCCGGTTGTTGTGGCTGAAGTTGAGGAAAGCCAAGGATGTTGTTACATTTTTAGTCCTTCCAGCTCAGGGAGGGTGCAGCCAGGGAGTGAATGAAAGTGGGCTGGTGATGGAAATGTGGAGGGGTCTGTATGGGACAACCTCCCCCCACCCCAGGCAAGGCAGCTCCAGGGCTCCTGGGCTTCCTGAGGGGCTCCCACCCAGAAGAACTGGGGGACCAGGGGACTAGATGACAGTGACTCCACTCCAGTATGTTAGTTCCTGGGGATGCTGAAGCAAAGGGATACAAATGCAGTGGCTTCAGGCTGCTGGAGTCCAAGTCACCTTCATCAGGCCCAGCTTTGGGTGGACATGGTCGTGCTCCCTGCCCCCCAGACCCTCAGGAAGGTGTGGACATTACCGCTTCTGGCCTCTGGTGGCTGTTGGCTGGCATTCCTGGGCTTGTGGCTGCATTGGTCTCCATCTCCATGTCGATGTCTCCTCCGTGTGTCTGTCTCACTTCTTCCCTTGTATTCATGTCTTTGAAAGACCCCCCGGGGGGTGCGTGAGGAAAGTGAGAGCACCTCATCTGCTGGCTCACTTTCCCAAGTGCCCACATTTGGTGGCCCAGGCTGCTGCTGGGACCTGGGAATGCCATTTAGGTCTCCCTTGCAGGTGGTAAGGATCTAGTGACTTGGGCTGTCACCACCTGTCATGGGCAGGAAGCTGGAGATGGGGCTTGAACCCAGACCCTCTGCTGGGGGTTGTGGCCACCCAAGTGTGTCTTGGCTTCTGTATCAGATGTGTACCTCCTTCCTCCTTCTTTGGGGGATGCTTGTGATGCATTGCAGGCTGCCAAGTTGATCCAAGACCATTTCTTCATCTCCAGACCCATAGCTTCATCCTGTTTGCAAAGCCCTTTACACTCAGAGGTTTCTGGGCTTCGGATGGGGACCTGTCTGTGAGGCTATTTTTCAGCTGACCCCACTGCGTCTGTCCATGAAGGCAGACAGCTCCAGGCTGGGACTGGACTGCAGGTGGAGTGGGGGGACCCGAGTGGTTCCAAAGTGATGTGTCCCTTTCCGACAAAGGAGGCGCTGGAAAAAGAACAAGAAGTGGGAGAAGTTGGAAGTGCTTGGAAGTACTGCATTTGCTTAGAAGTGGGAGCGCACAGGGAAAACCACCCCAGAACATCCTGGTGTCCAGCAGCCATAGACCCAAATTGCTAGGGTTGTAGTAATGAGTGTTTGTGATGGTGATGGCTCTGCACTGTGGTGAGAGCCACCTGTTCCCACTGCTCTCTCTTCAGAGGGACCTGTGCTGTGGACATAGGCTGTCCAGTTACTGGAGCCTCATGGAGGTCCTGCTTGTGGCAGGGATCTAAAAGGGTCCAATGCCTGGCATGGACTTGGTCAGCCCTGAAAGCAGAACTGGGGCAAGAATTGGGGTGCTTAGGATGGGTCAAGGCTGGGTATGGGGGTGTAAAGGGCTGCAGGGAAGGGGAGCTCGCTGGGAGTTTTAGGAATGCCTTGAGTGGGCAGGGAATGGGGGCAGAGTGCAGGGTAGAGAGCCTGCAGGTCAGAGGCCATGGTACTCAGCTGTGCCAGCGAGGATCCCAGGGTATCCACGCTGGGCCACACCACACAGTCACTCTTTCCTATTTAATGTCTTGTGAGTGCAGTAAGAAATACCAGCGAGCGTGGTGGGTTCAGGGGCAGAGTCCCAAATCAGAAGTGTCATAGCAGGACTGGGGATCAAACTGTCCTTGCCTGTCTGTGGCTTTCCCTGGCTGCTGGCGCCCCTTGCGTCACCACGCCTGCGCTCCAGCCTCTCATGGCCTTCTCCTCCGCTGCTGGTGCAGACTCTGCCCTGTGCCTCTGTGTTGTAAGGATGCCAAGGGCCGGTGGGTCTCATCACACAGTCCCTCCCTCAGTCACCTCTGCCCAGATAGTCACACTGTCACCATCCAGGATCAAGGGCTATTATTCAACCCAGCAGAGGTAGTTAAGGAGCTACATAAATGATCCTGAAGGCTGAATGAATGACTGCCAGGCATTCTGGCTGATGCTTACTCTGTTCTTCCAAGAAGAGGGATACTTGAGGGAGCCAAGGGGCCTTCAGGAAGTTCATGGCAAAAAAAAAAAAAAAAAAAAAATTGAACTAAAAGATAAGTTTACTTGGTCCCAAGCCTTTTTTTTTTTTTTTATAGCATAATGTGTGTGTGTGTGAGAGAGATTTTTAAGGCTGTCAGGAATGCAAAGTGTGTAAAGCTGTTAGTCTAGCATATGTTGAGCTAGCCGGGACCAAGCCACCACCGGAGTGTGACTTTAAGTAATTCCGTGACTGATAGTGTGTCCCAGTGTTGTGCTGTGTATGACTCCTCAACTGGGTGTCCTTGGCCTTTGAGTATTATTTACATCTGTGGATTAAGGGCCTGCAATTCCCTATTAAGGGAGTCTCTTGTCTGGGAGGGATGATAGATGAACTGTTGCCAGCTGGTCCTGGTTTGATGGTAGCACCTGTAGGTCGGTGACTATGATGGAATACTGTGTGCGGTGCAGGGGACACGCCCTGCTCTCTGCAGTGTCTTCGCACAGGTGCTGGGGTGGCTTGTGGGTGAGGAGGGGCGTAAGTACCTCTGGAAGGGAGGTGCCACTTGACTTAGCCCCTGAAGGTCATGGGTGGGAGAACCTGGAGAGGGATGGAAGGTGTGTGCCTGGGAAACTGGGGGTCTGGGATGGACCATGGTGGCGAGGGAGGAGGCTCATGGAGCAGACACTGCAGAGTTCCTGTAGGTAGCCATGGGCCTCCAGGTGCTTCCACAAGAAATCCCAGCTCCCGTCCTGTGGTCTGCAGGCAAAGTGTAGCGTGAACTCAGGAGGTTGAGCCAGCCTCAAGCCTCAAGGAGAATAGATGGGGGTGTTGGGGCAGCCCCTCCCCCCTCTCATCTCCTTTCTCCTCCCCTCCCCTCTGCTCCATCTTTCTCTTTCTCCTTCTTCCTCTTTTTTTTTTTTTAAGATTTATTTATTTATTATTACAAAGTCAGATACACAGAGAGGAGGAGAGACAGGAAGATCTTCTATCCGATGATTCACTCCCCAAGTGAGCACAATGACCTGTGCTGCACCAATCCGAAGCCAGGAGCCAGGAACTTCTTCTGGGTCTCCCATGTGGGTGCAGCGTCCCAAAGCTTTGGGCCGTCCTCCGCTGCTTTCCCAGGTCACAAATGGGGAGCAGGATGGGAAGTGGAGCTGCTGGGATTAGAACCGGTGCCCATATGGGATCCTGGTGCATTCAGGCAAGGACTTTAGTCACTAGGCCACTGCATCGGGCCCCCCTTCTTCCTCCTTTTGTTTTCTTACAGAATTTGCTTTTTTCTCTACAATCTTATCCTTTTTCATTTTGGTAAAGTACTTTTCTTAGCTTTATTTTTAATTGAAAGAGAAGTTATGTTATTTTTAAAAATTATTATTTTAATTGGAAAGGCAGATTTACAGAGTAGGAAAAACAGAGAGAAAGTTCTTCCCTCCCTTGGTGCACTTCCCAAATGGCTGTAACAGCCGTAGCTGAACCAACCTGAAGCCAGGATCCAGGAGCTTCCTTGAAATCTCCCATGTGGATTCGGGTGCCCATGGTCTTTTGCCATGCTCTGCTGCTTTCTCAGGTCATAAACAAGGGGCTGGATCAGAAGTGCAGCAGCCAGGACTCGATCTGGCACCCATATGGGATGCCGATGCCATAGGCGAAAACTTAATCAGCCATGCCACGACACTGGCCCTCTGGTGTTTTGATATGTATGTCTATATTGGGAAATGGTTCTCAGGATCAAGCTTATTAACACCTCGCATAATTGTTATTTTTAATGTTGTGGTGAGAACATTTAAGATCTACCCTCTGAATAGTTTTCAAGTATACAATATGTTGCTGTTGACATCAGACACCATGCTGCACATTTTAAAAATTGTGAATAATGTCCAAAAAGTATTTGCACCTGTCACTGCATACTACAAATATGTCCCTATCAGTTATATCTATTTTATCAATTATGAATTAGTTATCTGTATGTTAGTGTCTATACTGATATGTTGATACAATTAGATAATACAATTCCAAAAAGGGAAATGAATAGAAGTATCATTTTCTGGCACCTCAAGAAAGCTGTTTATAAGATGTCCCTGGAGGTGGTCGGGGGGACTGGTACGTTGGCTCAATTGACTAATCCTCCACCTCCAATTGTGGCATCCCATATGGGCGATGGTTCGTGTCCCTGCTGTTCCACTTCTGCTCCAGCTCACTGCTTATGGCCTGGGAAAACAGTGGAGGATGGTTCAGGTCCCTGGGGTCTTGTACCCATGTGGAAGGCCAGGGGGAAGCTCCTGCCTTTAGATTGGCTCAGTTCTGGCTGTTGTGTCTGTTTGGGGAATAAACCAGTGGGTGGAAGATCTTTGTCTCTCTTCTCTGTAAACCTGCCTTTCCCATAAAAATAAATAAATCTTAAAAAGAAGTGAAAAGATGTCCCCAGGATGCTGTTTTCTCCCTTGGAGAATATGGGCCTGGGTGCTGGGATACAAGGTGCTGGCTGCACCAGGCTGTTTCTGTAGGTCCAGGGGGGAAGGAGAGGTGGGGCAAGGCTAGCAGAGGGCCCTGACCAGCTGGCACTGCTTTCTCCTGCCTCTCAGCCCTGCATGTTCCCTGGGCTTCTTGAGGCACCCAAGACCTGCCTTTGCCTGTGATGTGTGCTAACGGCCAGGTTCTTCTCGGCCCTCTCCTTAGGTGGCTATCAAAGTCATTGACAAGAAGAGAGCGAAAAAGGACACCTATGTCACCAAGAACCTGCGGCGCGAGGGGCAGATCCAGCAGATGATCCGCCACCCCAACATCACACAGCTCCTAGATATCTTGGAGACGGAAAACAGTTACTACCTGGTCATGGAGCTGTGTCCCGGCGGCAACCTCATGCACAAGATATATGAGAAGAAGCGGCTGGAGGAGGCGGAGGCCCGCAGATACATCCGGCAGCTCATCTCGGCCGTGGAGCACCTGCACCGCGTTGGGGTGGTGCACAGGTACGGGTCCCGCTGCAGGTTCTGTGCTGGGTATCCGGTTCCTACCAGGCTGGGCAGCTGCAGTCCATTTTACTATTCTTCCCTCCTTGGCCCAAGGAATTGTTTTGCGTTGGGTCAATGCCGGTGTGGTTGCTCAACCAACAGGCTATGCCCAGGGTGCCTGGGCAGCTGTTCTGGGTGTTCCCTTTTGTAATTGTTTGTCTTTGGGCTGCCTGCCATGCTCAAGTTTTTCATTTGTATGATGGGAATATTACTTTTTTGTAGGTGGGAGGGAATAGCATTTGTTCACTAAGTGCCATTTCACTGTTAAGTCCCATTTTCCTTCTTACTGTCTCATGACACCTGTTGCTCAGATGCTTAAAGAAATGTTGGGTGTGAAGGTGGTACAAGATTCTTTTTCTGCTCCTGCTGGGCCAGTGACATTTGTTCTGTTCACTTTACCTGTGGTAGCAGCTCAATGACTGTTTGCTCCAGTTGCTTGGAATCACCAGTTGCCCTTGAAATTGAAGAGTGTGTCCCCGAAAGTCACAACAGCTCTGAAAATAATTACAGAAGCCAGGCTTGTTTATGTCACCTTGTTGTTCCCTGCTGGGATGAGGGGACACCCAGAGAGTGAATAGAGGGCTAGCATTAGTGTGCAGTGGGTTAAGCTGCTGTATGCATCATGGAAATCTCATAGGGGAGATCCAGTTTGAGTCCAGGCTGCTCCACTTCTGATCCAGCTCCCTGCTCATGCACCTGCGAAAGCACCGGAAGGCAGCCCTGCCACTCACATGGGAGACTGGGTAGGGCTTCCTGTCCCTGGCATCTGGACCAGCCTGGCCTTGCAGAGAGCTGGGGAGGGAACTAGGGGATAGAAATGAACTCTCCCAGTTTTTCTGTCTCCCTGTCCCGACTCTGCCACTCTGCCTTTCAAATAAAAAAAATCTATATCTTTAAAAATATCATTCTGAGTAACGTTGTCGTTAGTGATGGCGCTTACTGTTTATTCTATATGTAAGTAATTCCTTCCCACCCAGGGACATGTTGGTTTCACCCATAGAGGCATGATTTGTCCTTCATGGAATTAAGATGTATGATTGCTCTGGGTTTTGAGAAACATTAAAAATCCTTTCTGATTGGCTCTCATTTTGAAAAGCAAGGTCAAGCACACATGTGTGGCATGCGGACGTGTGTAGGTCCAAGTGTGCACACATGTGTGAGAGGGTCGTTTGCTGAGCGTCCCTTCACCTGCTTCAGTTGCCCTTTCCATCCAGGGGTTGTCTAACCATCACCGCACTCTGACTTGGGAATATGTTTATCACCCAGTGATGGGGAGGCCCTCAGCACCAGCCATCATGCTTCTCCTCTGCTTTCTGCCACTCTGGCTTTGCCCACAGGCTTTGCTTCATGCAAGTGGAGTCATACCGGAAGTGCCTGGTCCTTTGTGGTGGCTTCTTGCCCTCAGCGTGATGTGGTTCAGGTTCATTGGTGTTGTACCATGTTTTCCTGCCCCCTCCTTTTGGTGGCCAAATAATATTCCATTATGAATGTGCCATGCCTGTTTGATCTTGTCACCCATTTAGGAACATCTGGATCGCTTCCAGTGTGTGGCTGTGATGTATGATGCTGTCCTTTATGTGCAAGCTTTTGCATGAATGTCTGTTTTTCCTTCTCTGGGAGAATTTCCACTCTTAAGGAATCATGGATTTAAAAAATTCCAAATCCAGAGCCAGTGCCAGTGGTGTTGTGGGTTAAGCTACCATCCTGCACCACTGGCGTCCCACATGGGCACCAGCTGGAGTCTTGGCTGCTCCACTTCAGATCTAGCTCCCTGCTAATGTGCCTAGGAAAGCATGGAGGATGTCCAAGAGCTTGGGCCCTACAGCCACAGGAGAGACCTGAATCAGGAAGCTCCTGACTCCTGGCTTCCGCTTGTTGCAGCTGTTTAGGGAGGGATCTGGCAGATGGGAGATATCTCTCTCTGTTTTTCTCTCTCTCTGTTACTCTGCCTTTCCAATAAATAAAACTTAAATTCATGGACTGTTGGTACCGTTCTTGGGCTGAAAGACCCACATGTTCTGATCAGCAAAGAGAACAACTCTAGGTTTTGGTAGAACCCTGAGATTCTCAAGGGAGGCAGAGCTGGTACTGTGGGAGGCTCCGCCTTGTGCCGTGGGGACCCAGGCATGCTGCAGCACGGTCCCGACTGAGCACTTCCCTGGACCAGCCATGGCCGGGCTCCTTGGAGTCCCTCCTCTTGGGCCTACTTCTAGTTACCAGCATGTGGTCCTCAGATCATGGATCTTTCCTAGAACTCTCTGGATTCAGATCGGCAGGAAAGGGAACATGCCGGAATTCCAGGTGAATTGTACTGGTTGCTTTTTTGTTGTTTTTGTTTGTTTGTTTGGCTCTGCCCAGCCAGACCCTTGGGTCATCTATGATGTCCTAGTTCAGTAATTAGGAGCATGGTGGCTGTTGGGGTAGGGGTTGGCTCCAAAGGCAAAGGCAGAGAGCCCAGGGATGAATCAGCTCAGAGTTCAAAACCGGGCATGATGTGAGGGGCTGAGCTCTATCTGGGACTCGTGGGGTCTCCCTGGGGGTTTGTGGGCCACTAAGGACGTGAGGACTACAGAAGGAAACCCCTGGTGGGACTGAGTACCACAAGACACACAGCGCACAGCACCCCGGGAATCTCCCGCAGGAAATTCTCAACGACACTTTTAGAGAAATTCTAACAAAAGCTGATCCCTCCCGGTGCAATTACTGTCGGGATGTCTAAGGAACGGCTTTAATAATGTTTTGATAGCAGAGACAGCTGCTTTTTTCTTGTTTGTGTCTCCAGCTTTCTACGTTTTCCTCTTCTCTCCTTGGAAACTAACGTGTAATCCAGGAGTGATTGGCTTGGCTCTTTGGAAGGCAGAGCAGATAGAGACTCGGGAGGACTTGCACTTTTCAGAAGGCCTTGCACTTTTCAGAAGGCCCGCCCACCTGCCATGGCACACACAGACATGAGAGCCCCAGACCTGAGGCCTGTTGTTTTTGTTGTAGGTGTGTTCTGTGTGCAGAGTGCTTGGACCCGAATGTTGCCGTCACCATCGGGTTACTGCCATGCTTTGTGCTGCAGCCCCTTCCGGGATGGGAGTGCAGGTGCCTAAGGTGCAGGGAGCTTCATGAATTATGCTGAGGTTCAATTTTTCGAATCAGAGAGGACAGTGTTTCAGATGGAGCCCTGAGTCCCCAGGTGGGAAGCTTGGTGGCACAGAGGGCAGCTCATCCCAAGGGATTCTGGAAGGGTTTACGGGGCCACTTGTGTACAGGGATGTGAAGGGCTGTGTGTGCTAGAAGACGCTTTCAGAACGAGGTTCCCGATGACAGTGACATGCTGTTGTGTCTCAACCAACTTAATGCTGCTGAAACCGTTATTTCCTCTGAGAGTTGATCCACTTGGTTACTGACCTAGACCTACTTAGATGTGATTTAAGAGAAACAAATCTTCAGATATCATGGTAATATTAGAAGTGGAATTTAACACAAGAAAGTTAAAGCTACATAAAAAGCAGATTGCCTTAGTTGATGGGGAATTGCATGTGATCGGGACTTGGTTATGTCCTCAGCTTCGGTGGGCTAAACTTTTTTTAAAGACTATTTATTTATTTGGAGAGCAGCATAACAAGAGAGGGAGAGAGGGTTCAGCCCACCTCTGGTTCACTCCCCAGATGGCCGCAATGTCAGGGCTGGGTGAGGCCAAAGCAGGTGCTTCATCCGAGCCTCACCCGTGGGTACCATGGATCCGAGCACTTGAGCCATCTTCTGTCTGCTTTTCCGTGCGCATTTGCAGGGAGTTGGATGAGAAGTGGAGCTGGGTGAAGTTCTCAGGCTTTTGGACCTGCCTTTTCAGGTCCCCGATGCAGGGAGTAGGGATTACCCATTGCACCTGCTGGTTGCCACTGGGCTTAGGCAGGTGAGTGTGTAGGAAGGGCTCAGACCACAGGTGCCTGGCCAGCACCAAGAGTATATGCACTTGGGGTGTGCCAAGGCCATGACAGGATTACAAGTCTAACTCACAAAGACTTCCCAGAGTCCTCTCTGCCAACCCTTCTTGCATGACTACTCCCTTGTCTGGTGTCTCTATTCTGCACAGCCAGTAGCTTAGCCCACGACTTGCCTGGTGTAGGTGCATTTAACTCTGCCAGACTTTGCTCTGGAAACCCGGTAGCCAGCCCTCAGTACTTTCTAAAGCATTCCATGTGCCCCCTGGAATTTCAAGGGAGTTTCTTCAGGAACTTAGTGCTGATCTGTTTATTTTCTAAAGTTGCAGTGTGTCAAGTGGCATCTTTTCAGTGAACAGCCCTGCCATGTTTGTAAGTAGAATTAGTTTCTGGAGCATTATAAGAACTCAATGAAGATGCCATTTAAAATAAATACTTCAGGCATGTGGTTAATGACTTTTTTCTTATGTTTTATCAGTGTCTTATGATGCTAAATAAACAAAAGAATTGGTTTTAGCACAGTGCTTTTGAGGGTGAAAACAAACCAAGAAAACGTCTCGTGGCCACAGAGTACCCAAAGGCCTGGGGGGAGCTGGGGCTTTTCTTAGCTCCATGTTAAAATCTGCCTATGGCCACCCTCGTGGGTGGAGCTTTCTCCCTCACCCTGGGTTCTGGGTTCTGTTCTGTCCAGTAGGCCCTGCCCTTGGAGGGTCACCTCCCCTAGAGTGAATGCCCACCAGCGGATTCCTCACCTGTTGGAGTGTCTTCCCCATCAGCTCATCTCCACTCACAGACCTGCCCTCCTTCCCTCCACCTCTGCTGTGTCTTGGAGGGGGCCCAGAGCTCTGGGGGCTTCCTGCCCCTTGCAGGATGCCTCTCCCTCCGCCTCTTCCATTCTCCTCCCCTTCCCTCCTTCCTCTCCTGTCCTCTCCTCCTCTCACTCCTCCCTGCGTCTTCCTAATCCCTTCCTCTCTCTCCTCCTTTTCCTTCTCCCATCTTCTTCCTTCCTCTCCCCCTCCTTCTTCCCTC